TTTACCAACATAGTTTAAAGTGTACCAAAGTTTTTTGCAAACCTATCTATTTTTTATCTAGCCATTGAGTTTGATCCAGCAGACCTCTAGATACCACCCATGTCCTTTCCAGAGCAATGGTAGTTCATTTCGTCAGCCATCTAGTATAAAAAATTGCCTAAACGTGTAGTTTAAGGGGGGTGGGTCCCGACATTTAGATTTCGCTCGAGCTTTCCCAATTTGTACAGCACAGCTTGAAGTGTATGGCATGAAGTTTTTTTCGACTTACGGTCATTAGCTGACTGAGAAAACAATTAATTACTCTCAACATTTAAGCTAGTTTTTGAACGCTACGCCTGTTTTTAAAATTTCACTATCCGGCAACCTTTTACTACCAAAGTATGGTCCAAGCGTAGAACAAAAGAGAAATATCTGGAGATTATTTTCTAGAAAAGAACAGCTAAATATATCCATTCTCTTAAAGTAGTATTGTAGAATAACCATTCAACAGCTAGCTTCGAGCTAAACCTCTTTTGGTAGAGAATTTCATAGCCTACAACACAGGCTACTCTGCAACCTTTTTCATCAACATGTGATACTTTAAAAGATATATTTTAGCCTAAATGTTGACAGTAATTAATTGTTTTCTCAGTCAGCCAATAGCCGTAAGCTGAAAAATTTTCAGGATATACACTTCGAGTTGTGTGCACAAATTTGGAGCTTAAACGCAATAGTTGAAAAGGAGGGGGTTAATCTAAGCATTTATTAGAGATCAATCGCCTGGGCATTATAGATCTCGATTCCCAATATAGTGAATACAAAAAGCAAACAAGAGAGAATGATAAAAAGGATATGAAAGTTACACAAAAAGGAAAAAAAAATGGATATGGTAAAAGAGAGAAGTGACAAATATGGTATGTGTGTGTGTGTGAAGGAAGCTAAAAAAAAACAAATATAATCAAAATTGTATCTAAATGAACATTCCACAGGTGCAGTGACTATGTGTATAAGCATACTATGAATGACAGCTACGACATCAGGTATGATCAAATCTTGATGTGTCTACTATGAAATCAGAAACAGTATAATATATTTTCTTCAACTCGGATATAGAGACTTTGCGGAGATCGCTATGTCTCATCAAAAGATGGTTAATAGTCACATTAGTGTTCGGGAACAAACACTCAAATTCCTGAAGCATCTTCAAACGCGGTTGAGTATAGTTCTTACATTCAAGTAGGTAATGGGATACTGTCTCACGAGCACCGCAAACGCAGGCTGGACTTAGGATGAGCTTACGAGCAAAAAGATCACTGTTCAACTGAGAACATCCCATTCTCAACCTTGCAAAGTTAATATCGGTGTTTCGATCATTGTGTGATGGGATAAGGGGAGGGAAGAGGTCATCAGTCTTCGCCAGAAGGCTACGAAATGTTTTGTGCTTTACACAGGAGCGAAGTCCTGAATCAAGTCCATTCCACAACCTAATGGTGGCTGGTATAAATGTGTTCTCATAAACATCTTGCTTACGTATTTCAATGGTTTTCTAGAAGCCATTGTAGAAAATCACAGAGTTCTGTAGATTCTTTTATACGTAGAATACAAAGCAGTTCAGATACTGTACATCCTGAAGTATTGAACTAATTCTGATGTATTTTGAGTGAGTTATGAATTTTTTAATATTAGTTGAAAACAGCCGGAAAAGCAAGGGGGAAAAAGCGTTTTGGAATGGTATAGAATGGGTTGGAATGGCCCATTCCATACCATTCTATATCATTCCAAAATGGTCAAAAATGTTTGGAATGGTACGGAATGGCCCATTCCAGCCCATTCCGCCTTTTCCCCTTACGAAAAAGGCTAATTTTCGTAAAACCTACGTTCCACTAGGTTCTAAATTTTTTTTCTAAAAACAGATATTGCCATAAGAGTCGGCATAGTCAATAACCTATGTTTTCATGCATTTCTGATAGTCCCAAACCTATTGGTAAAGGAGTTCTAGCCCTTCGGGAAAAATGTTTGTAGCGCCTCAATCATGATTTTTGAACATGTCGCTTGGTTCCAGTTTTGTAGGGACGAATATTATATGTAATATATATAATAAGTATATATATATATATAATATATATATAATTATATATAATAGAATATTTAACGATCATCCATCTTTCAACGTAGAAGCAAAGATTGATTGAGCTCAAATGTATACCAGAGATAAAATACCGAGAAAGAAGATTGATGGAAAAAGAAAAGTGCCTTTAAAATGTTTAGTTACAATCTATATAAGCCGTTTTTGTCATACTCGAATTTGCATTTTTGTAAGTATGCTGAAATATTTTTGAAATATATCTGCAATCCGTTCCATTTCCATTACAAACACCACACTGATCTTCAACAGCTGTTGAATCTAATTGATTGTCACAGCCCAATTTCTTAAAGAAACGTAGATGGAAACTTTTTTTAAGAAAAAAAGTCCAAAAAGTCTCATGCGATTACTTTGCATATTCCTGATATACATATTCCTTTGAATAAACGTGTTTGATTATTTATCATACATGATGTACCATCTCGGAGTTTAAGCCGTTCAATTCGACCAACTTCGTCGGTAGATGGCGTTGCTGAATAAGATGATGAAGATAGTGAACAAAGAACCATACAAGGAGCATCTAGAATTATGATAATAAAAATAAGTTTACAGTTTTTAAATGGAAATAACATTGTCTTTACTTTCGTAAAATGAGGCTTTCCATATCGTCACATTTTTCAATTCTTTAGCTGTCATTTGTTCGCACTCTAAATCATCTTGATGAAACGATGATGTGCAGGGCTAAAATATTGTGTTTATATATGTGGTTAAAATAATAGTAGAGAAAAGGTATGCGTACTCCCAATGAACATGTTCGATAACGCTTTCGAAGACCTAAACAGTATTTTCCACCGGCATCAGGACTAAAATTGGTATTAATCGCAAAATTACTTCAAAATGTTAGCAGCAGGAATACCTTGGATTTGAGCATGTTCTTGCTTGATATTCTACACCTAATCCACATGTATGAGAACATGAACTCCATGCTCCCCAGGAACTCCATGAACCATCAATCGGTATTGGTATTTCACTGATAGGTACACATTTACCAGACATACACCACTTATAACACAGACAAAGAAAAATATTTGTATAACAGTAGTACTACCAGACCATTTTACTTTATTATTATCACATATTGTTCCATCCGCAGGCAAGTACGATAAGGCAGGAATACAATGATATTGTTTGTTTAAATACCGTCGACACATCAGCTGACCACAAACTTCCTATAACAATATAAAATCTAAAGTATCGTAAGACATTCTGATCGATAGTTGTATCAATGTAAAACACTACCTCTTTTCGAGTATGAGTGTAGCAATATGTTGAATCTCTTCCATATGCCAATCGACATTGTTCATTCAAATCAAAATGAACACCGAGATATACATTGGAATCGTCGTCATTTATCTGAGGTTTATCTTCAAGACATTTTCCCCACCCTTGGCTTAAAAAACAAACATATTTTCAAGATAATTCAAATTTACTATAGTTACATACATACTCAAAAAAGTCTGAAACATTATCTCGACTGCAGTTTGACCACATTAGTAGAGGTACACGATTATATTCTGGCACCATTATAGTAGCAGAATCATGAGGTGGTTCACATCGTCCTTTTTCACCATCATGATACATACCAAGACTATAAAATATTTTCTATAATATATACATACTGTTATTAATTTATTTGTAATTCTCCATACTTATGACCGAGTTCATGGGCAATAGTATGCGCTGTTATTAAACCAAGATCTTGGTTAACACTACAACTTTGATTTTCCATGCAAATACCAGCCATATGAGCTAGTCCTAATGTTGAACATCTTGTGGAATTTTTTCGACAAAAATTCATTCTAAAAAGTTTCTATTCTATAAAAAACGCATGTTATTATGAGCAGATATTTCTTTCACTAACCGTGAAAGAAATATTCCAACATCATGATGACTAGTATTGTTTATTTTTAATTTTTCTTGCCATATACAAAATCTTTTTAGCGTATCATAAGAATCAGCTACGGCTTTGAATTGAGACTAGAAATCGAATACATTAGAACTTTGATGGAGAAAACCAGAAACCAACATACTTCATCATGTAAGACAATTAATCGAACAACAACAACTTCTACAGCTGAACCTAAACTTGGATGTTTATAAATGGCATTTACCTGAGATAAATATAAACCAAACAAATTCACGTTTATATATCTTAATAGATGTCCCGAATGAGTGATTACTTTCAATAGAAGATTACTTACCATATTCATCAATGTTAATATATACCAATGAGCAATTTTTGGATGATCAAAATGATTTAGAATACTTGAATCAGCTACAACTAGTGATTCAATGTAACGTTGTTTATTTAGAGAACGTTTAACGCGTGAATGATTGGAAACAAATCCTAAAGAAAAGAATAAAAAATTTAGTAAATATATTCGTAATCATTTGTTACTTTAGATACTTTTATTCGATAGTTTGTCATCAACTTTTATATCACATGACCATAGTGGTAATCGTGTCTGTTTCGAATCTTTCATTCGATACAGAATATGCTCGGAAGAACCATTGACGATATGTAACGGTTCGATAAAATAATCAACAACACCGTCATGGATAAAACCTGCCTAAATTTAAGAAAAGAATCAACATTCTGAACTGAAATGATAAAAGTTTTATGCAACATACTAAAAAGCTACTGCCTGAAAAAAAAATTCTAACTGAACTTTTCGTGTCAACTAAATATGATAGAAAATGATACACATGCTTCTTTTTGTAAAAAACCTTTTTTATGAGTTGTAGAATTGCTTACTAGTCCATAGCATGTTGATAATCCCACTAGTGAATTTTCGTGATGACGAACTGTTCCAACATAATAGCAATTATTTGTCTCTTGTGAAATATTAAGCAGATGTAAAAAAGTTGGATGGTAACGATTTCTCTGTTCAATAACCACATTTTTTCCAAACTGGCTGTATTCAAGATCAAGTAGTAACGGTTCTTTTTCATTTTCACGTGGAACTTCATAGGTTTTCACCACATCAAATTTAAGCGCTCGACGTTGACGTTGTCCTTCATTTCTCTCAATTGGAATTATATGTTCAACTATCCATGATTCGGCTGATAAATCTAAATCTATAGAAAAAGAGACGAAATAAAGCCAGAATGCGATAAAAACAAGTCACTTACCTGCTCGAAATAGAGAAGAAAAAACTACAGAAAAAGGCAATATGTGAAAAAAGAAAAGTGTTGTTATCATTTAGAATGGATGTTGCAGTTTAAATCAACGATTCAATGAATGACAGCAAGTACTTTTTAGACCAACAGTAGAAAATTGTGTGAAAAAAATACGTCATTTGGGATTAAGTTTTTCTCTTTTTATTTCTCCACAGGTCAGCACGTTGTTCCATTTTTGATAATTAATAAGTACTAGTATGAAGTTCTTAACACAGAAAAGGAGGTATTATATTATGTACAGAGAAAAGTTTAACGCCCTAACACGAAATACAAGATTATAATCACTAATAGCGCACATCGTCGCTAAACAAAAGTGAGGAATTATGGTCATTCTTTCATAAAGACGATACAGAATCCAGGAGTTTGTAATAGATAAGAATCGGTGTCTTCTAGAGCGGAGAAATTTTCTCTGGCGAGAGTTGAAATTAGTATGTTCGTTAAGCAGGCGTTCGCGTTAAACATCAGAGATGGGATCGATTCCTGTTTTCTCAAAGCCAAACCGAATCGCTTCCTGTTTTGAACAGTTCAAACTGAAAATCTTTTTTAAAGCAGAAAGGGCCGAACAAATGTTATAGATGGACAGGGATCTGCTTTCCATCAGATAACATCGTTTCATACTGAAATAGAGATTTATTTTTGATCAGCAATGACCTAATCGTGACAACATAAATCTGTGGCTGTAAGAATGTAAACAGTGGAGACAATAAACGGTATCCATTCGTTCCTTATCAATTACAAAGGATTTGTTTGTATTTTTGATGCGAATGTTTCAATACAGTGTTGAAAACAACAATGAAAATATAGGAGAGGGTGAAAACTATGGTTCGATGACTTCGTTAATTTCATTTTTGAAAAAAGTTGTGTTTAAACTGAACCATCCTCAGCTCTGTTAATTACTAAACTTCACAGCAATGAAATAATAGTTATGCTGTTATCTATGCTTATATGTCCTGTGAATAGACATCTGCGACAAATCGCTTTTCGTGCCAATCATATATCTTCTTGCTCATGAAAACATTTAAAAAATCCATGTCCATGTATAGAGATAACGAGTATATACGTTTATTTATTTATCGAAGATTGTAATATACGAAAAACGTTTCCGTTCGAAATATTTTAAATATAAACAGCAAAAAGTAAAGAGTGTTGAGCGCATCCTTTAGTATCATCTAGAGTACTTCGGGGTAATTAGAGGCACTCTTCGAAAATTTCTTCCTTTTTTTTGCTATTTCTTGGCCGTTTTTGATCGGAAAAAGTTGCTATTGAACATGATGGTAGACCAAACATTTTTCTACACGCTCATGTAAAAATCTTTTCAAAAACTGCGGCCAATTTTGAGCCAGATACAAAATGCGAAGAGCTCCATCAAAGTGCCTCTAATTACCCCGTACGGGGTAATTGGAGGCACTTCACTTAAACGCTTGGGT